TTCATTGCTGATCTGTGCTACCTTTTCATGTAATCCTTCAAAGTTAACACAACATGGTTTCTCTCCCTTTTATTTGTTTAAAAACCCCCAACAAACAATACAGATCTCTGTGGACCTTCCCACAACAAGGTAACAAAATCATCACTAACAAGAAACAGCCAGAAATGGAAGTCGTAGAGGTTGATGAATGGTACAGCATGAACCTTGTATTAAAAAGAAAGAAAGGAGCACCCCAGGAGATGCCATGGCCTGAATAAGGACACTTACAGCATTTAGCCCACAGAGCTGGTAGCAGCCCATGGTGATGACCACGGTAATGACCTGCCATCTCACCGCACGGGTTCTCAGGAGCTGAAGTACCGACACTAACTTGGTGTTTCTTTGGATTCGAGACTCTGCCAAAACTTCCTCTACTTCATGAGACACGTCATCTTTCCCAAGGAAGGTCTGAAACGCTATAAAGAGAGGATATGTACTTTAGGCCAGACGTTTAGCTCTGTGTGCATTTATAACAGGCTTGTTTCATAGAAATGGAAATGTGTCACGAAAATAGGAGACAAGCATGGGCTTCAACTTAAATATTCTTCTGTCAACAATATCTTTCTGCTCTGGGTATAAACGGGCTCATCCCTATAATCAGCCTCAGAAACTGCAACAAGAATATAAATCATTTGGCACCCTACCAGATCTTTCCTTATATTATTTCATATATAATACAGTTGAAGGTCCAGTGCAGAGTCAAAACTCTGTGCAATCTGAAAACAGGGTTTAATAGCAAAGCGGTTCTGGACATTATTGACTTGGCTGCTTCTGCAGCCTAACAATATTGCAAACCCCATTGCTGGAGATAGGTAGCATAAAGAAGTAATAAGATGTAAATACCTATGTAAGTCTGGTAAACCAAGAAAAGGCACATGTGGAAAGAATAGACACCACTCTTCATAATACCTCTTGTTTTTACGAGCATATAGACAAGAATTCACTTTGTCAAGATCATTAATATTAGAAAGGATTACCCAGAGCAGTTCAAGACTTTCTATTTGTCAGCATTGGAGACACAGAAGTGAACTTACCTACAAATGTAAGCAAACAAACTTTGTTTCCCCAGAAAAATGTACCATTTAGTGTTACAGTATTGCACATTGACGACTTCCTGAGATATCTACCACTTGGAACAATAAAAGCTTTCCATCTCACACCTCCTCCAAGAGGTACTACAAAGAGATACCTCCTAATGGAGGTGGTGTATCTTCATGAACCTTGTTTTACAGTTACTGTATATGCTGATGATACATTCACTACAATCTTATGAACATACCCCAGGGGTTGACTTTTTAAGAGATGTTTAAATGCTCATCATCTTGGAATGACTGCAGAGAAACAGTTGCATTACACATAGCCCTGCGACAAGGCTTTGTGACCCAGTAGGATGCTAACTCTAAAAACAATCCTTTACACAGCAGGTCACTTAAACTTGTTATTTTTATTAAGTGAATAAGTTGATTTAGTTCTCCTAAGAGCCAAATAATTTTTTTCTTTTATCCGCACCTTTGCATAGTACTGTCTGTAAATAAATGACCTTCACATTTTTTAGTATGTATACATTCTCCTGGATCACAGAAAGGACTTGGATGGTCAAGAAAGCCTGCAACACTGACTAGCCATGGTTAAAATGACTGGACACCATTTAGGTTTCAAAGTTACAGAACTGTAACTCTTACCCAGTAGATGATAAGGCCAAGCAGTGTCATTTGAATATCGTGAGGGATAGGACACACAAATAAACCTGTGATGTCCTCAGAGCATCCCTCTCCATCCCTTTGGTGAATGCTCAACACTGCACACTGCCTGGCTCTCACTCTGGCAGAGCATGGAACGCTCTCAAGCTCTGGGCCAAGATTTTCAGAGGCAGTTAACACTTCTACTGCATTTTAATGGGCCCTACGTGACTCTGCTTAACAAGAAGGGTGATTTTCTTAAGAGATGAACACTGACCACCTCTGGGTGTTGAGTCAATTCATAACATTAATTTATTCTGATGCTCAGATTCTCTCTGGGGAACAGAGAGGTTGGTATTTTTAAATCTCTCAGAAACAGCATGAGATTTATCTTTTCATGCAGGCCTTACAGCCAGAAATGAGTTAACAAATTCAAACCTCAGAACCCAGAATTTAAGTTGCTGAGTTTCACCCTTGTGCCACTAACCATTTATTATTAAATGACATGCTAAACACTCATTAAAATGAGTGTGATGTATTTAAAGAAACTGATAAGAAATGTAAAATTAGAACAATGTGTGTCTATGGTATTTTAAAGTCCATGTCTCGTGTTGAAGTTACACTTTCCTCAGTATTATTAGAGCACTGATAAAGAGAAATTCAGGTAAAGATGATACACTTATATCACCATAGTCATCTTAGAAAAGATTCTGGATTTTTAAGCATCTGGTTTATCAGCGTAAATTAGGTCAGTGCACAATTTTCTTTATTTTTCCTGTCCTTAAAATCCTCAGCATTACTTTAGGGCACACAAGTAAAAAATATATGTGCAGTCAAGTAAAAAGAAAGCAATCTGTCTTCTCTGCACAAGGGAGTTTGCTGTATTTCTAGAGGGAGCAGGAAGTAAAAAACTGCAATTACCAAAATTACCAAGTGCAAGGCAAAAAAAAACCCCATAGACACCTGCTTTCTTTTTCTCCCCTCTCTGGTATTGGAACCAGAGATGTAACACCGCTAGAAAACTTTGATGGATACTTAAAATTACCAACAAGTCAAGAAGTGCTAAGAAAATGCTATGTTATGCATGCATAGTTTAAGTAGACAACACTCAGTCTTCTTGGAAAAACACATTTCCCTGCTACTCAACACATCTTCAACTTTCTTCTATTAACAGTTTTTTTCAGTACAGTAAGAATCACAATTTTATGCATAATTAATGTCAAAATAAATTCTGCATTAGCAAGGAGATGGAAAAATTCGAAGGTCTTTCAATATGTGATGTTCAATTCTATTCATTTTACATTTTAAACCCCTGCATTACTGGCATTGAGAAGCACAGCAGTTGTTCCTCTCCCCGCTTCAATGACTCAATTCCCTCCATCACTGGCTTTTTCTCTCTATAAGGGAATCTTATTTTCATGTCATGCTCAAAACCATCTAAGGAGTTGTTACATTTCTAGCAATTTTTAGACCTCTCCCAGATTTCTTTTTAATTCCCTTGGATCTGAGGTCCTAGATGCTCAGCTTTCAAATGTCAGGATACTGCCTTTATAAACAACAGAAGAAGTGGATGGTCCCAGTCAAAGGGAAAGGAGCTACAAAGCCCTTCCATTGGCACCACCAGTTTTTATTCATCTCAGCTAAGTGAAAGCAAAATGTCTGAAACTGGTTCAAAGGTCTGGACAAAATCAGTTGGTACTGTCTTTAAAACCAATCAGGCCTTTAAATTAGTGAAGATGGACATCCAAGAACTCAACTACATGGGGAATTACTAATTCCTTTTCCACTATAGTAGTTTCAGGACTGTGCAAAGAATTCAGTTGTTATTGTAAAGGCTGAATTAGCATGTAAACTTTGAGAAGACATTTTAAAGGATCAAAATGATATTGTGTGGTTTACAGATAATAGAGTCAGCCCCAGGCAAAAGGAGGAAAAAAAAGAGAGAAGTTGTCACAGGTAGTAGTTTGGGCTTATGCCTTCAAAAACAAAATGAAATGAAAAACCTCATGTTTCACTTTATTGATGATTGAGTATATTAAACCCAGGTCTTTAACACAAAGGTTTGCCTAAGCTCTGCTTAAAGAGCATCTTATTTCGCCACAGTGGTAGACAGAATACTGGGCTGGAATGGACCCGGTCAGGTATCTCCTACTGATGCTGGCTGCTGTTTCTGAGCAATGGTAGGTATATGAGGTGCATCACTCTTTGCCTCAGGACTTGAAAAAGTTCACCCAATTTCAATGCTTTTGAACTGGATGTGTAGTAACTTCTCTGTAGTAACTTCATGTCAACACAAAAATACTTCGCAAAGTGAATAAACAGTTATTTTTGTATACCACTAATTTTATTAGAGCACTGAATAGCCAGAAGAATAATTTAGATGTACCTTGCTAAAAAAGATTTAAATAGTCATTTAAATTTATCAAAATATTAATTAACTACTAACATATAGCATTGCAAGATTTAAGAATAAATCTCAAATTTGCTATTCAATTCAGTAAATATAACTGCAAGCAAAAGACTAGGCTTTTCTCATGAGTCAGCTCCTTCTCCTTCCAAGTAAGGAGCACACCAATCTTTGGTGAGTTATGATCCAGCCTGGGATTACATGTTCACCTGTTCTCATGTCTGGTTTCACAGATCATCAATACAAAATAGGCCTTTTCTGGTTTACTTGAAACTAGCCAAGATGTGCACTTAAAATGAAATACTCACATGGGATCCTAAAATAACCCAAGAATTGCTAAAACAAGTTATGCCAAATGTCCAGCAAACCCAGTCTTCTTTGTAAAAGACAGGAAGTTTAAGAAAAGTTTAAAAACAGAACAGACACACCATGATCACTCCAGCTTTTGGCAGTCAGCAACCATCTGAGATGGAGCCTCTACCATAAGCCAGCAAGTGTAGTAGTCTTGGCTTTCTCTTCCTTTCCAATAAACATAGCTTAAAATGTTTAAAGACATACAAGAAACCCCACAGATAACAAGGACATATTTTGCTGGTCAGTTAAATCACTGGATTTACAGCAATTTCTTCCTGCCACAACTTTGGCTTTAACATCTCTGCTGTCCATGTGAGGCCCATGAAGGGCTTTTAAGAAAGCAGGTAGCTAATTTTGTACAATCACAAATGACCTCACTGTTTTATCACATGAAAAGGTATAAGCTCTAAGCCATCTTTCTAAGAATTAAAACCTACACTTTTCGCTATACCTGTTGTAATGCTCCTTTCATCACCACGGGAGTTTTAATGCATGAGTGAACACACTAGATGAACAGATATTGTATGTCACCAACAGATGTTACTGTGACATTTTATCTAAGTTATTTGACCCTTAAGACATCATAATATTCTTGTTCTCTGGCAAGCTGGGATGCCAACTCAATTCCATCACTGATTTACATGAACTGCTACTGTAGCAGCATCAAAAATGCAGGTTTCCGCCTTGTAACAGTATTCTTTAAGAGACACATCAACCCTCCAACTGAAAGTGTTTTTAACCAATGTTGCTAGTCATAAAAGTGTTCTGTCTTACCATGCTACTGCTCCTGTTTTCATTTATACTGCAGCATTGCCACAGTCACAGATCAGGGGTCCACTTGGCATGCAACTAATCTCATGTCAAATTCCTGTGCTAGAGCTTGGATGGCAATCTGCCTGATGTAATTATAGCAGCAGGTTTTTCTTTTTCTTCATGTTTCTAGACCTGTTATTCTTCATTCCCACTTCTCTCTAGCAACTGAATAATGATCTCCTTCCAAAGTCCTTCTCCTCAACCATTAAAATACCCATTTCTCCTCTGCTGTCTGGTGAACATTACGAAGAAGGATCACACCAGTTAAATACTAGCCATTTTTCTCCCTTCTCTTCTTATCAAGAGAGGAGAATGTTAGTTATTGGACCTGGGAGAGGAGCTGGCATGATTCTACCCTCTGCCCATTACCAGACCTTTAGCTTTTTAAGCAAAGTGGGTTTAGAGATTGTGCTGTTGGTCCAGTCAACTATTCTTACCCCACAACACATAAATCAGTTCTCCCACATTCAGCAGTGAGACAGGAATATGGGACACAGCTCAGCTCCTGTTGGGGTCAGGCAGGGAGTCAGGATGGTGACCTCCAGCAAGACAAGCAGAACTGTGAGCACTGCTTTTGGCAGCCATGGTGTCCATACAGCTGATCAGCCAGACATTGGCTCAGCCACCCACAGTGTGCACTGTGTGCACTGCTAGAAAGGGGAAAGCAGGGAACTGTGCAAATACCCATTAATGGAGCTCAGGAGACATCACTTATCTGAGGCCTCACTACTCCTGGGCTCATGGAGTAGCTTCTCTCATGGTGGTGTGGCTTACATTCACACATGATGCCTGCCTGCCTAACCTTATCCCTTCTCTTTTGACATCACTTACACAACACATTTCATTCCTTCTCCCTCTTTCAGTCTCTTATTTGCCACTTAAAGACATCTTGCTCTTTTATACCTTTGCCAAAAAATCATAGGATCATTGAATAGTTTGGGTTGGAAGGGACCTCTAAAGATTATCTAGTTCCAACCCCAGTGCCATGGGCAGGGACACCTTCCATTAGGGAATGAGAATGAGGCCATCTGTATTTTGGTAGTTATATTCTGGTTATCTCCTGAGGACAGAAGAAAGGGAGAGCACAAATGCATGAGCAGAACTTAGTGGAGAATCAATGACCTACATTAACCTGCTGGATTTTTATTGCTTTAAAACATTAATTAGGGAGATTAATGTTGTCATCTCCATTTTAGAAGCTTTCACGTACATTTTAGGGTATTTCACAAAGACTGAGGTATTCATCTGCCTGACATACAATGGACCTTTCACAAATAACAGTTTTATATTTCACCATTAAGATACAATCCACAGTGAAATGTATATTTGCATGAATAGCCTTGATCCATTAAGGGAAAGAAAATGGATTTAGCCAGAAGAGAGACTTCTCATTTCTGATATTAATACGCAGATTTAACCTAAGAGGTAAATAATTCAAAAACATTACTGTGGTCATCATTAAATTGGAGAATACCATGTTGTCATTACATGGCTTACAAGCAGTGGGGTTTTAAATAACCCACAAACTCCTCTGGTCTCCCTTATACTAAGACTTTTTCTCCCCCATTTCTGCTGATAATGCTAATATCCAGATGATTTTTCCTGATTGTTGATTCAGCTATTTATGCTCCCATTCAGTGAGTCCCCCTCCCAACCTGTTTTTGTTATTCCACTGCATTACTCCAGGTACACTCCTCCAAAGAGGGGTGATTTGAAAGGCAGTGCAATGACAGGGAAATTGCTTGTGTTCCTAACATGCTTCATAAGAAGGCATCTAGACACTTTATAACACAGAAGTGTAAGACAATATGATTTATGCTGCCTTACAGGTGGATTTTATGAATTCCAAAATGATAACTAAGAACCATTCTTACCTATTTGGCAGCTGATATCCTACAGGCTGCCTTGCCTGTGCAACAAGGTAGTTGATTCTGGAAGCATGGCAGCTTGATAGGAAAGGGAGGAAAATTCAGGGGAATGTATACACTTCACTGCCCTATGGTCCTTTGCAAACATCTGCCTAGAAACATCAGTCCCTAGCTGTTTTGAAAGCACTGAAGATGACACTCGAAATGAATTTCACTGTGTACTACAACATATCTCAGTATTACTGTTTTCTTTTAGAATTTTAGAATCAGGTCAAAAAGCTTCTAGTGATAAACAGTTACTTTGATTTTTTTTATACCAGCCTCCTCTTTTTTAATTAGAGTATCTAAATTTATAGTCTTTAAGGTGGCTCATGAAAGCCACCTTCTCATAATCAGAAAGGCAACTGCTAAAGCTTATTTCCCTTCAACGACCAAATTAAAAGTGAGTAACTTTGCTCTCCTCATGTTTTCTACTCCAAACCCCACCTCCAATGTTTCTAGATTAGCTTTCAAATCATTTGCAGAATACATCCCAGACTGCAGTTGGCCCAGTACCAACAGTAAATGCTGAGAATTTCAAGGCAGGTGGTGTTACTTTATTGCCAGTTTTTTACAATCTTTAAACTCTGTGTATCAGAGGTCCATCTTCACTGACAGTGCTGAGATTTCCAGCTACTGTGGCAGGATTTCCAATAGATCCCTACCACAAGTGTGACATTATGCAGTAGCATTGCAGATGTGGACTCTTCGCCAGCCACAGCTCTGGAAATATATCTACAATTTTATCAGGTAGAAATGAGCCAGTTTTAAATTGGCACCCAAGGCATGGAAGAATCCCAGCCCAGCTGTGGTGCTGCAGAGGTTACTACTACTGTTGAGTAGTAGTAGAGTCAGCCCCAGGCTGCTCACTGCTGTGTCCTTTCTGGTGCTCTGACCATGTCTGGCAGGCAAACCCTTTCCTTCACTGTCCCTGGAAAAGCTGTTCTCTGCCTCACCAAATCTCTGCTGACTCTGTAAAGCTGAAGAGTTCTCCCCAAAACCTTGTTGCTTTTGTGCCTTTTCATTAACACTGAACTGTGTCGCTAAATGCCGGAGGCTCCAGCGTTTACAGAATTCTTCATTCAACAACTGAGAGAACATGGAAGTCTCTTCACTAGTGTGCCATTTCTATTCCAGAGTGCTCATCAGAACACAAAAGGGCAATTTTTAATTTCATAGTAGAAGAAACTGGATAGAGTGATTTGCATTAATTTCATGCTCAAAGATTATTAAATATAAGTTGTGGGGACTGATTCTCACTTTGCAAGCAATCCTGCAACCAACTAAGTGACCGAAAATGTTAAGGGTTATATTCAAATGAAGTTTTTAGGAATAATTTTTAAAGCACAGTTATGTTCTGCAAACATTGATAATATAGTAAGACTCCTTCCTTCTTTGTACATTCCTATTTTTAATGTGTCTCTATAATAAGCAAAAACAAACTTTCAACATTTTCTCATCCATAACAGCGTGAGATATTGGAACTTACAACTGACCGTAGTAATTTTACTGGGGTAGAGCATACAACAGCTGTGCTCACACAAACGAATCCTTTTATATATAGAACCTAAAGTAAGAACAAAATATTCTGCTCTGTGTCTATGAAACTGAAGCAAGCTATATGGAATCACTTGAAATTTTCAGTTGTATAGGTGTATGAGGTTTTTATTAGATCTACAAAGGTTATTGAGTTACAGAAGAACAGGTTCAAGCACAGTGACTGCTGAAAACACTCCAGCAGCAGATCCAGTGTTTTTGTTAACCAAACTGCAAAGACTGTAGATAAGGGATAATCATGAAGACAGAAACCACTTTTCACTCCCAAATGAAATCACTTTTCACTCCCTGCAGATAGTGGCTGACGCACAACAGCAGGATGATTTGGTTAGGTTTGTATCACCATGCACAATGCTATATAGATTAGTTCATTGTGGAATTTGATTTATAGAAGATTCAAATCAACAACATTTACACACACAAACGAAAAAGATGAGGGAAAATAATTGTCAAGAAAATCTCTCTTATTTGAATATCCTGCTTTTACTGTGATACTAGGATTACTTTCCTGCCTGCATCCCTACAATAATCACCCTTGGTTGCAAGAAAGTAACACATCATACCTTTTTCTGCCTTGCTTGTGTTATGTTTTTCAAGTAGGAGGTAACGAGGACTTTCAGGAAGAAAAGGCAGAATCACAACTTGTATCAGTGAAGGAACAATGATTGCTCCAAATAAATAAGGCCACCGAGATTCCTGCAAACAGATGCAACCATAAGTCAGAAATATTGTCCCATTGTGATACTAGGAAGAAAAATAGCCTTGATGGGAAGCACTGTAACTTTCCATCGTTCAACATATTGTGTCAGTGAGCAGAGTTTTGTCTTCTGCCTGAGCTAAGTAAGCAGTTTTAACACTTCCTCCTCAGATCGTCTTACTCAAGGGCCAAGGAAGACAGAAATCAAGCCATCAACTGACTGAGAATAAGAAGAGCGACACAGGGAAGCTGGAAAACAGCAATACATAGCATATTTTTCCTTTCCTTCAACATCAACATCTATACATGTAAAAAGGTGAGATATATATTCGAATACATATTCTACAAGTCATCCCCACTCACAGTAGCATCACCCATTAGCTTTAAGAGCCAGTACAACACTATCTGCATAAAGTTACATATACGTGTATGTTTTCTCTTAGTCTAACTGATCTAAAATATATATATATATATATACATGCACACACAAAAAGACTAAGCCAAGTATATAATAGTCATAGTATGGGTAAAATCCTGATAACACTTCAGCTAAGCTACAGTTTAACATTTTTATGGTTCTTGGTGTAATGCAGGCAGTGACCGTTCAGCAATTCACAGCTGCTGGGAATGAACCAAGTTGTTCTGAGGTCTCTTCTACTTGGCAAAACACATTTGCCTCACAGATACAACTAACACATAGTTGGGCAGTTTTCGTTTCCGTTCAGAAAAGAAGACATAAGGTGACATATACGGTTCAACACAATTACAGTGAAACACAGCTATATAAATTAGCAAGAGAAAAGATATCTGGCTAACTGATGCAAGGTTATCTCTATGAATGTTTTCTCTTGAAGCAGGATTCCACCCCTTAAGCTGGCTTCCATGCTAATTTAAGTATATTTAAGTTTCACCTATCCTGTCCTAAATCACAGCACCTTAAATAAGTCCTTTGGTTTTATGGTAGTGCGACTAAGAATAATACATTATAGTGTTTCCCACACTGAATTAGCTAACCTAGCTCAGATGTTCAAATGAAACACTGAGGGCCCTGTTCCCAAGTCCATCAAAGAGAAAGTGATTTTTCTATTGCCTTGCAAGTGATCTGCTGGAAGTCTCCAGCAAGGACCTGAAACACAAGAGCCATCTGCAGCATCCCCACTAATGCAAAGCCCCAGTGACCCCTCTCTGGCAAGTCTCCCATACAGAAGCCAGGCAGTTTTAACCTGTCAGAGCCCCACTGCTGTGCAGGTGAAGAACATGATGAGCTGCATTATCCAGCACTAGTTATACAAACCTACTCAGCTGCTAGCAGATTTCAGATACAACTTGACTTTGATAATTTTCTTTGAAATCAACTGAAAGAAAGTTGTTAACATCCTCAAATGGATTCATCATTTGAAATCAGCTATAGAGGGTGACCTGAGCAAAGCTTTTTCAGGGAAAGGCTGGGAAATGCAGTAGAGAATTTACCTACCTCTCTGGGCTTACTCTCAAGACAGGATACTTTCAAGTAGCTGAAGGAGAAAGGTGCCAGCAGTATTATTTTCTCCCACAAAATGGCCCTCAATCTGTCTGTGTTCTTAAGATAGATTCTGTTCCAACTGAATGCCAAGATGATTTTTTTTTGTCGTATTCTCCAAGTTCAGCATTCAGCTATTTAATTCAATGCTTTCTAATCTGAGACTTGGTTCTTAATTGAAAAGCCTGCTGAGACTTCAGTAGACCTACTGTTCAGGCATCATGTCTATCACATTTTCAAAAGCTTGGCTAGATCAAAGGCAGATTGCACTGCATCCTGGCTGATGGAGCTCTGAGAGGCACGGGGGTTTGGATCCCGTCCCTCAATCATTCATCTATCCATTCAAAGTCCATATTTCCCTAAACAGAGATAGATAATTTTTATTTCAATATAACTTTTTACAGTCAAATCAAAGGTCAAAAGCCTCCAAACTATATTCTGTTGATAGTTTTTATTTTACATTCTCTCACTTCAGCAATGTCTAAACCACCATGTACTGCATGGCATGGGATGCAATCTAAGCCCCAGAGCTGAATCAGGGCCTGAGATAACTGAATAACTCCCAGAGAGAATATGAGGGGTATCTCCTAATAGAATTTTTCACTTGCCCTTTAAGTGATAGAGGGGTTTTGTAACAAAATCTCCTGGGACAAGAAAGCAACCTGAGAAAGGGATTCTTTCAAAAAATGTCAAGATCAAGCTTATTAGTCTTCCTAAGAACCCTCATTAACTTCAATATACTATTTCTTCATTTGCTTTATTTAGTGCAGCTGAGTGAAGAACTCAGGTTAAGAGTCCAAGAACAGTTAATAATCACATAAACAAAGTAGGTATCCGTAACGGGTAAGAGAACAGGCAGTATAATCCATCAGTTTCATTCTATGTCTGGAATAAATTTATATAATATAAACACACTTGTCATGTACCACATAAAAAAGTTTATGGAGCATTAGAACTTTTTACAATATCTCTAGATACAAATCTTACACTTGATCAGCACATCATATTTTGTGTAGATTTTTTTCCACAATGTCAAGGACACTTATTAAAGGAAGAAAAAAAAGATTACTTGGAATAAGCTGACACCCCTATTAAAGTCTCCCTTAGCTTATGGTCACATTTCTCTCAACTCTTCTGAAAGTGTCATATTGAAAAAGCTACGAACAAGACTGAACCTCTAAACTTACCCTTCACAATAAATAACAGTGACAGCATAATAAAAAGCCCTCTATTTTCAGCACGTAAGATACCAAGCTTCCTTTATTTCCTCCATGAAAGATTTCTGTTTTACTTTTTATTGTGCTAACTTTTAATGCCTTAAGGTAAACATTCATAAATATTCTCCTACTTGCAATTGCTCTCATGAATTGGTCAGTAAATCACTGAAGTCAATGGAAACTTCTCCATCCATTTCAAAAGTTTTTGGGTGATGCCTATTCAACACTATAGAACATGTATTCCATTTGCTTTTCTCTTAATTTACATTATCCATGTTCAAATTATTCATTCTACTACAAAAAGAAATAGGAGGTCTAAAATAAATTTAAAATATCTGTAAAAAACTATGGAAATCAAGCTGAACTAGAGCCTATAGAGAGAATTAGAAGAAGAGGGAAAAAGGAGGGGGTTTTAACCTCTTTAAGAAGGAATAGGACAGGATACAAACTGGCATAACGCTCAGAAGCAATAATAATGTAAGGGAAAAAGACAGTGTAGGTGTGACTTAGAAACATTAACACTTTGCCTGTTGTCAGCAGTGAGAAGAAGCACACAGGCACTGCAGAGAGAAATGAAAACAACCCCATCCCATTTTATTTCAGGAAAAACTTAAAAGAGCATTAAATATTTTAATTACAGGGGACCCGATTCATCACCCGCTTGGAATCAGTACAAATAGCATGTCAAGATGGTAACATTTTAATTTTAAACTGTCACATTATGGATATTTGCTTAGACTGGAGTATGAAAAACTGGGCTTTGATGTATTTACAAAAGACAGTTAAATAGTAGAGCAAGTTTGACAACCACAGACTCATTGAAAGATTGGTAGAACAAAGTGCAAAGCTGCAGAAATACAAGGAGGAGGGAGAGGGGAGGAAATTAATAAAGAACGACATAGAGTTATCAACTGCAATGAGATGGGATTAACCTATACCAGAATACAGTAAAGCAAATGTTACTGTGTCAGAGAATCATCATCTAAAATGCAGAAAATGGAACTTACTGTAACAGTCAAATGGTGGAAAGGAAATTGGCATGGGTAAATGTCAACAGGCACTGCTGTCAGCTGAACTACTGGTCCTTATGAAGTTCAATGACCTATTTAAACACTAGTTACATTAAATATTTTCACTAATTTGATGAAATTTGAATACACTTTCAACACAGAAGAGGCTGAGAATATACACATAGATATAAAAATTTTTAAAAGGGGAATTGAGACATTGGCAGTGACATAGAACAGTGGTGGGAAGAAGTGCTGCTCTGCCCTGTATGTGGGCACACATTTTTTGAAAGACCTACTGGAGCCAATGAAATATTCAAGATGTATGACAGTATCATAAAGACTGAGTAAGGGAACACATGACTGCCACAGACTCTGCTCTCTCTCTCTCTCAATAACTGTATTATTTAGTTAAAAAGCATAACCTGGACACTCTCCATTCCCAACTGAGTATCAGCCACTACAGCACTGCCAGGCTCTCTGCCCCAAGTTCTGTTTTCTGTGCTGTGGAGATCCCTACAGTCAGCAGCTGAGCATCCCTGACCCCAGCTGTCCCAGAGCACTTGTCCCACATCCCTGTCTCCCTGCATTCGACAGCCACAGGGAAATTACTGCACCCCAAACACAAGCCCCAAACACCTCCTTGTGGCAGCAGCCTCCCTATGGCACAGGTAGTACAGGTCACTACCCAGAGGACTCCAACCCTGCTCGGAATCCCAGTATGCCCACCACCCCACCCCACAGAGCTATCGAGGGCTTGGTTAGCTTTACTGTTTGAAATATGCAAGACATTGCAGCAAAATGAATACCCACTCTCCTCTTCTCACATTCATTGCTCAGGATGAACTGTGATATTTCTCAGTGAGCAAGTCTATTTACCAATCACTATTAAATAGTCACATTTTACACATTAATTCTGTAATTAATTCCTTGGGGATGGAGGTGTATGATGGGTTTATGACAGCTCAGAACACCTTACAAACAGCAATAATTCTTTTGGATAATACCTTTCTCATGTAAAATGGCATATTTTACCTATTTTATATGTGGGGAGCATGCAATGCAAGATAATCAAAATGTCCAAGAACTAGTGATTTGTCAGTCTTTTCTTTTTAGTGTTACTATAAGAAGCAGGAACACATTTAAAACTTTAGTTTGGCAAAATGTAATTGCACACACAAAGAGCATTACATCTAGTATAATTTCCAGTGCTCTGAAGCATCTTGCCTCACCTCTTGCTGCAGCCCCATAAGGAT